CAGATAGGCACGTCATTGACTGTAGCATCTGGTAGAGATTAACTAGGTCCTAGTCTAATCATGTGGTCTCTAGACCCTCAGATAGGCACGTCATTGACTGTATTATCTGGTAGAGATGAATTAGGTTTTAGTATAATGATCTGGTCTTTATACCCTCAGATAGGCACGTCGTTGACTGTAGCATGTGGTAGAGATAAACTATATCCTAGTCTAATGGTGTGGTCTTTATACCCTCAGATAGGCACGTTATTGACTGTAGTGCGTGCCAGAGATTAACTAGGTCCTAGTATAATGATATGGTCTCTAGACCCTAATTGCCCCTACTATAAATATACGTAAGAGATTAACTAGTATGGACCTTGTGTTGTCATACCAGCGTGGTTATACATCTGATGGCAGACGAACTTCATTGTGGTAATGATTACCCATTATCAATCATCACTAGCGTTGTTGGTCCTAGTACGCTCACAGGCGTATATCAGTCCATGCTGTCGAATGTAGTTTCACTGACCCCACAACTATGGGCCAATGTATATGTGTCCCTATGAGACGTACACCGCTGCATACAGACTGAGTATTGGGCGATAGGTTCGTACAGACTGTCCTCTATATCCCATGTATAGTGGGAGTCCGTAGTGCTAGTGTAGTAGTCGTGTCATCTGGGAGGATAACTCTGTACCAGCCTTGCCTTAAATCCCATTCATAGTGTGAGTTCTTGGTATTAGTCTAGTACTAGTGTGAGGGAAGGTGTCTGAATGTTTGGTATCTGGTCGCATTGTCTTTACTGATCTCATTTTTCTTGCATCGCATTCGTAGTGTGAGTTCATGGTAATTGTCTAGTACTAGTGTGATGGAAGGTGACTGTATGTTTGGTATCTGGTCCCATTGTCTTTTCTGATCTCATTTTTCTTGCGTCACATTCATAGTGTGAGTTCATGGTAGCACTATAGTAATCGTGTTCTAATCTCATTTTTCTCTTCTTATTTTTTTGTATTTCCTCTCCAATTCCGGATAACTAGAGGCGCTGCCGTCCGATTTTGGAGTGCTCAACAATTTGGTGACACTGTCGCTGAAGAATAATGCGATAAAAAAGGTAAGGTATGTCACAAACGAAGAACAAGAAATATCATCACAGCAACAACCGGACTATGTCTCATTTTAAAGAAAACATTATCACTGTATGTGCAATTGCTATAGTTGATACTGTATGTACAATTGCTATAGTTGATACTGTATGTACAAATGCTATAGTTAATACTGCACGCCGCACACTTAGCAGGTGAAGTCAATAGTTCAATTGCTAAATCCTATAAATAAAAAATGTACAAGCACAATTGCGAAAGGGTCTGCCGCGGGGTACATCTTTGGCTCGTGTTGTGGTGGGGCCTGATACTGCCGGCTTTGTGAAGCGTCTTTGCTATCGGCAACCTATACGAAACTCTCATATTTCTACTCAGAAGTGTACTCAATTTTACAATTGATTACATGATTTACTTGTATATATATATATATATATATATAATGTACATATCTATATATGTATGTATTTATATATGTGTGTATTTAAATATATGTATGTATATATATGTGTGTATATATGTATATATGTATTTATGTATTTATGTATTTATGTATTAATATGAATATGTATGTATTAATATGAATATATATATATATATATGTATATATATATATATATACTATATATATATATGCATATATATATTATAATAAATATATATATATA